CAGATGCAGTAGTAGCAGTCTCCCAGGATCTTGATCCTCAGCTGGTGGTATTTCTGAAAGGCAGGTATGTTTTAGTCAGACAGTGGATCGGACATAAATCACTCGCTGTCTTCCAGAGCGAGTGACTGACTGTCTGGCTGTCTTCTTAGCAGCAACAGCAAAGGGTTAAACTGCTAGAAACATGCAACGATGGCAGTTAGCACAGACTTCAGCGGGCTGGATGGAGGCGAGCACACAGGCTGTCTTTTTCCTCAGAGGCTGAGCTTAATCTTGGGCATGAAGCTACTGCTGTTACTAATTTTAACTTTGATCTATGATGGTACACTATGTGGTTTTTAGGGGACTGCGAACATTATTGACATATTGTTAATGCTAACATATTAAGCTAGGCAACCTAGAAGGATAGAGCTCTACTGTCACCCATAAAGTTAGTTTCAGGCTGGTGAAACCTCATGTGAACTTTGACATTTGGGCTCATGCACAACCTGGGTACATGTTCACAGTCAGTACGGAGCCATGCTCCTAGATGATGACAAACTGGGGTACAGCCTCATACCAATTAAGACAGGATCTCTACAGAGAAATATTTGCACATGAGCACCTGTAGGTAACATCCAGGACTCTGGCACGAGTCGTGTTGGACTGTAAACAATGGACGGCATACAGAACAGTAAATCGTGCCTGCAGATAGAGCACCCACATCCTGTTAAACGTCAAAAGATCTCAATAAACAAAGTTTATTTTCTAAATATGGTTTTCACAGTGTCACAGTGGAATTAGCCCTCCAGTGTTGTAGTTCACACATCGGCCTAACAAACAAAATCCTGTTCGATTCTGGGAGGAGACACAAATCCCTTTGGGGCTGTGTCAGCAAAATCATCCAACATGTGCAGCTACCCACTGTGGCAAGCCCGTGTGAACACGGCAACAGCCAAAAGCAGCTTTTTCTAATTGAGCAATTATCCCGACCCTGAACGAGGTTTCAGGGATTAGTTCCTGTGTTGCAGGTAGAAATAAACTCCTTGCTGTGAGTTTCTCCTTTACAGATTTCCTCATTACTGAATCAGCTACCATTAGCTTCAAATGTGTTGTCTGCATCCTGAATTTTACAATTTTTAATTTTATTGTTGTTCACAATTCAAATCTATTTTATTTATTAAGCAGCAAATTACAACAACATTGCCCTCACGGTGCTTTATATTGTAAGATAAAGACTCTATAACTATACAGACAGAACAATCAAAGTTTGTCAAGGAGGGGCAGCCACGTGCAGCAAGCCGATTGGTGAGAGGACATGAGACATGCTGTGGAAGAGAGGCAGAGAGTATTTATGCTCTTAGCATGCTGGCCTGTTTGACTACATCTAAAAATAAATACATATGCATAATAATAAACTGACAGCAACACTGAGCCACAGCAACCATTGCTAAACATGGATATATATCAACGTGCCACAAAAAGTCAGAAAGTTTTGTTGTAAAACAACTTTATGTGTTTTGTTCTTGGCGATACATATTTGTACCACTGACGAGCCTGTTGTGTTCCCTTACTGCGGTGCCACGTTTGGATGGAGCCGCCACATACGTGGACTGTGCCCATGAAAAACCTGCCATATTGGAAATTAAACAGTTGATCCTTTTAACAAACAGGGACCTCACTATCATGTGAAAGAACCACACACAGCGAAAAAGCCTGGCACCTCCTCCTGTAGCGGGGCATGATACGAACATAGGGTAAAAGGGCAGATGGCCACCAGATGGCC